TCAAGGCGACCAATCATCGCACGCCCGAACGGAGTGACACAGCAAGCCGTGCACTGATCATAACAGCATTGCTTGTGCTCGTGTCAGTGCTTTTCCTGGTTAGCTCCTCGTTCAAGGAGAGAGGGGGGGTGGCAAAATGGGAAGGGTTCTCAGGGGGAGGGAGGGATGAGATGAGGGCGGGGAGGAGAAGAGAGGTGATGAGAAGGGCGGTGAGAGGTGAGGAGAGGAGGGGGCGAGGGGAGGGGAGGGCGAGACGGGGGAGGGCGAAAGAGAGGGCGGGGGGGTGGGCGGGGGGGGGGCATGGGAGGGCCAGGGAGAGGGGGGGCGGGAGGGGGAGGAAGAGGAGGAGGGAGGTGGGTGGGAGGGATGGAAGGGAAGAGGGGGGATAGGGGCAAGGGAGCCACGCCGCTGAGGCGCCAACTCCAGTCGTGCAGCGTCGCCCGCCGTCCCGTCCGTGCGGCCAGCCTGCGCTCGCGCCGGCGGGCCAAGGGGCGGGGGCTGCGACCGCCGCGGGGGAGAGGCCCAGAAGGAGAGAAGAACGCCCAACTCCTCCTCCTCCCCCCCTCCTCCTCCTCCTCCTCCTCCTCCTCGTCCTCCTCCTCCTCCTCCTCCTCCTCCTCCTCTTCTCTTCTTCCTCCTCCTCCTCCTCCTTCTTCTTCTCTTCTTCCTCCTCCTCCTCCTCCTCCTCCTCCCTCCTCCTCCTTCCTTCTCCTTCCTCCTCCTCTCCTTCTCTTCTTCCTCCTCCTCCGCCTCCTCCTCCTCCTCCTCCTCCTCCTCCTCCCTTCTGTCCCTCCCCCCTTCGCCCTCCCACGCGGGCGAGAGCGATATGGGGCCCTCCCCCGCTGGCCCGCGCCGGCGCGCAGCGGAGGAGGCTCGCTCTCTCTCTGTCTCCCCGCGCCCCTCTGTTGCGCCAGGCGCCGGGGTGTTGCAGCGGTCCAGCCCGTCACGCAGCAGCGGCACGATAGAGAGAGAGAGAGAGAGACATATAGAGAGAGAGAGAGAGAGAGAGAGAGAAAGAGGGAGAGAGGGAGAGAGGCTGGCGGCGCGCACAGGGTGGTATGGGGGAAGGGGGGAGGCTTCCTGGCAGGAGGCCGCTTCTCAGAAAGCGCCGGCCCTACATTTGGGTCGGGCATGTCCTCCTACAGGCGGATTTTGGACGACAAGCAAAAACTATTTTCCCCAAATCATCTAAAATACAAGGAATCGTCCACAAACTATTTTTGGACTACTTTTGAATATTCCTCCTACATCTACAGGCAAGGCCCGCGCCCTCGGAGAAGCAGTGGGTGCTTCCAAGAGGTCTTCCCCCCTCCCCCTGCCTCCCCCTGCGCGTGGCCGAAGAGGGGCGTGGCCGAGGGAGGCGCAGAGGTGCGCCGCGCGCGCCGCCTGCTGGACTTGCCACCAGGAGGAGGAGGAAGAGGAGGAGGAGGAGGAGGAGGAGGAGGAGGAGGAGGAGGAGGAGGAGGAGGAGGAGGAGGAGGAGGAGGAGGAGGAGGAGGAGGAGGAGGAGGAGGGGGAGGGGGAGGAGGACCACTCCCCGTGCATTTTTTGGCTTCGTGCGTGCTCTGTTTGCCAGATGGTCCAAGGTGCTCCTCGAGGGTCCTCGCCGGAAGGCGAGCAGCACAGGAGAGGGAGCAGGGGGGGAGGGGGGGAGGCCGAGCAGCACGGGAGAGGCAAGGGGGAGCGCGAGGGCCGCAGGAGTGAAAAACCTCGCTGTCGCTCCGTCGTCCACTCCTCGTGCACTTTTCTCTGCTTCGTGCTTTTTTTTCGTGTCGCACGATGGCATCCCTGTCGCCTGGCCCGTCTCGGCCGCCGCCGCCCGTGGCTTCTGCCGCCGCTGCTGCGTCGAGGCGCGCTCGCTCGGCCGCGCGGCTGGCGCCGCTCTATGGGCCGTTCACGTGGGAAGGGCAGCGGCGACGAGGGCAGGGTCGGAGCCGTCGGGCGCTCCTCGAGCGGTGGGCCCCGGGGCGCCCTCGCCAGCGGGGGGCCCCGGAAGGCTCCTCGGCGGTCCCTGGCCGAGGAAGAGCGCGCACGCGTCCGAGCGATGCCAAGCGGCCCCGGCGCCCGGCCTGCGCGGGAGCGGCGCCCCGAGGCCCGTGGGGGGCCGACGGGGAGGCCCCCGCGGGGGGGGGGGGCGGGGAGCCGCAGGCCCCCCGCGGGGGCTCCGCGGGGCCCGCCCGCATGGGCGCAGGATCCTGCCGCGGGGAGCCACCTGCCCTTCCTCCTCCTCCTCCTCCCCCTTCTTCCTCCTCCTCCTCCTCCTTCCTCCTCCTCCTCCTGCCCCTCCTCCTCCTCCTCTTCCTCCTCCTCTTCTTCTTCCTCCTCCTCCTCCTCCTCCTCCTCCTCTCCTCCTCCTCCTGCTCCTTCTCCTCCTCCTCCTCGCCGCCTGGCGTTCCCCGCTTCCCCTTTTATTATGTTTATTTTTTCTCCCCAGATTGCTGTCTGAGGGCTAATAGGGCTTCAGACTAGAAGTCGGCAATGCAAGGTGGTTCGGAAGCTCTGTCTGGCACCGCTCCAGAATCCCCGGAGCAAGCTGCCGGAACTCGCAGCGTGTTCTGGCGGGCGTTTTCCAACTCGCTCCCAATGCGCGGGCCAGAAACCTTTCCGCAGCTCTTCCCAAGCCCCTTCGGAGCTCCTGCGAAGCTCCCTTCTCGAGCTTGCAAACTCCCCTGATATCCTTTCAAGCGTCCTTGCAAGTGTTTCCCAACAACTTTTCACGCGCTTTGGATCGCTTCCCTATCCGGGTTTTGGACGCCACAAATAATTTATGTTCCGCTTCGACCGCATGAATGTTTAGACCAGGCTGGCGTGGCTGGCACCAGCCCGGAATGTTGCCCCTCACCTCGAAGGGGCATGTCTCCTGACTGGGCAGGTCCCCGTCTCCCCGTCTGGGTGAGGACCAGGAGGAAGCGCAGATGGCGCAATGTTAAGACGAAGACAGGGCGAAGGCAAATTCGGGTGAGGAGACATCGGGAATCTCTGAGATCCGGCGGCGCTGGAAGACGAATCGGGCGCCGCGGCCTTCTCAGAGGGTTCCGGAACGCTCTGGAACGGATCTATCCTCGTCCTGGCCCCGACCGAGCGCCGCGGCTTCTCAGCGCGTTGGAACGCTCTGGAGAGGATCTGCCCTCGTCCTGGCCCGTCCGACGTGTCCTCCTCCACCTCCTCTGGGCTCACGTTGGTTGGGTGGGGCCACCCAGCAGAAACCTCCTGGAGGAAGGGCATGTCGGCCATAGAGCAAATGCCCTGGGGGTAGGCCTCGGACTGGATTGTCCTCCAGCCCCCATCCTTCTCCAACGCTCCAAAAGTCCAATCTAGGGCGCCCAGGCGGATGACCATGATGACGGTGGACCTCTTGGACGGGACCCATCCACTTTCATTGGTCTAGAATGGCCTCCCGACTCTCAGGGCGTCCCTCCTCCTCCTCCTCCTCCCCCTCCTCCTCCTCCTCCTCCTCCTCCTCCTCCTCCTCCTCCTCCTCCTCCTCCGCCTTCTCCTCCTCAAATCTCGAGGCTGGTGGCATTGGAGTTCGGTGAAGAACGACGCTGCCATGCCCCCCCCAGTGGCAATTGCCGCTGGGGGAGGGGGGGCGGATCAAACCAGGCAGCTGTAATCGTAGGATGAAGCGCGCATCAGTGAGGGAGGACCCTCCTGGGGTGGGGTCGCTGGGTCCCCCAGCAACCCCTGGCGGGGGGTGGGAGACCGACGAACCAACCACGACGGACTCAGACGTGCTCGACGAGCTCCTCCTCCCTGTGCTCCTTCACGCGACGACGACGACGACGACGACGACGATGACCACGCGGCGAGCGAAGACGAGCGAAGCCGAGGGGGGGAGGGTCGGAGCCTGCAGCTCCTCCTGCAGCGCGGCGACCGCCTGGTCCAGCCTCCGCCGCGCGTCCTGGCCCAGCGAGAGCCGGGCAGGGGAGGAGGAGGAGGAGGAGGAGGAGGAAGAGGAGGAGAAGGAGGGGGAGGAGGAGGAGGAGGAAGAGGAGTCAGGAGCCCCAGGACGAAGGCCAAAAAGCTTCAGGTAGGCCCCTTGTGGGCCATGGCCTTACGATCGAGCTCGGCTTTGCTGTAATCCCTGGGGGACATGCCCCGCCCGATACGCTTCAGGTACTCAGCACGAGTGGGGGTCACCACATTGGGGCACTCCTCGCCGAGATCTAACCTAACAACTGCTTATCCCCATGCATCCCACGGGACGCGCATAACCAAATTCCTAGGCCCCGGTGCAAGCGCATTTTGTGGGAGGCGTGCTTCCACCCTCCAGCACTGTGTATCCTCGCCCCCTCGGGAAGTCCTCCAAGGGAGCCGTCCATAGAAACTAACCTGGAGCATTCTGAATTCCTCCGTGCACTGGCCAGAGAAAGAGAGGGCGAAGCCGGGCCCCGACATCGCGGTGGGCGCCGACGCCCCGAGTCGTCGAGGGCATGGCTGGAACCGAATCAGGAGACACTGGCGGGTGACGGTGGCACAGCAACGGGGGGAGGGGCCGCGGGAGCAGGATGGAGGCCAGTTCCTTTACCACAGCTCGCGCCCACAACGAGGCCCACCAGGGCCTTCCGAGCCCCCCCATCAGTGCCTACCATCTCTATACCACTAGGAGCCTCACCCTCATTGCCATTCTTTTGCTCAGCGGACAATGCATCGAGCGTAGACCTCAACATGCGCATACGGATCCAGAGCACGTGGCGCTCCAAGGCCAGGATGGGGGCGCGGATGCTGAGCGGAAGCCTGCATTGAGAATTCCCCCGCCCAGCCAACACGTCGGCCACGAGACTGACTGTCACGAACCAACCGCGACACCCTTTACCCTTGACAACGTCTGTGGCATCTTAATGCCTCTGAGGGAAGAGCACAACGATATGTCCCCTCTCACGGGACTTCATGACCACATGACTCTCGGCCCACAGGGCACCTCGCCTGAGGGCGACATGTCACGACGATTATACGGCAAACTCAGGCGCCCGACGAATGGCGCATACAATCATAAACAACTCGCCGCAAGGGACGTACTGCTGAGGAACAAGCAGGATGTCAGAGACTGCACGGACGATGTCCATGCTATGCTCATCACTGAACTGCGCAAGACCAGCTCCGACACGACGAAATCTCGGGACAGCGGCGTCCTCGCCTCCGCTGGAGTATAGCCGAAGACCAAGGCGGGCCGAGCCTCGGATCCAGGGCCCAAACGCCACAATAATATGCTGTCGGTGAACCCGTCCTACAGTCGGGGCGTCGACCTAAGGAACCCTAAATAAGGAACGAGGCCCCTTTTTTCCATACGTTAACCTTCGATTTCCTGTCGAAAACATAAGGACAGCCTGAGGCAAGCTGTGAAACACTTAAGGAACGCGGAGTCCCTCCCCAACGAAAAGGGTTCCTTCTTCAGGGCCCCGACTGTACCACGAGGGCTCGATGTCGGCGGGGCTGGGACCTGAGTGCGATCTGCTAGTATGAGGCCTCTCAACCAGGTAGCCCCGTCGGCCTCATGTTGACTGTGCCTGGATACACAGAAGCTGGGACTGATCGTACGCCACCTCCCCACGGTTGAATTCACAGCCCAAGCTGCGGTGGTAGGCTGTCTCAAGGCAGCGATTGCATCTGGGGCACGTGGGGTCCACTGGCGTCTTGGTGGCGGCCTCAGCTCTCGTCCGCCGGGGCCATCCCCCGCCAGCGGCCACGATGGCCACCAATTCTGATAACCGCTTCGCATGCTGAGACTGCTCAAGATGACGGAAGAGCTGTCGCAGGGATGCCATGTCGGCTCCCTGCCCCAGGGAGGCCACCACCACAAACATGAGACCCAGCCAGTCGGCACACCAGCAGCTCGGAAGCACAGTCGAGGTGAGGGGGAGGAGAAGGAGAGGGAGGATGAGGGGGAGTACGCGTGAAGGCACATGGCCCTGCTCATTGCCCACCATCAGATTCTTCCCAACCGATCGAGGGATCACTTCTTGCTCGGGCTTGGCGCAGCGCAGCTTCGCGCCTGCAGCTGGCCCGCCGAGCGTGAATTGATGATGGTGGTGGCGTCGGAGGCTCGGGAGCCGAGTAGGGGATCGACTACGACATTGCTTCACCGTAAAACGGAGTTTCCCGTCGAATCTACGAATAAGCTACGGCTGCTCTGAATCTTTGTCGTCGGTTCAATGGGACAGATCACTTTTGGGCTAGACAGAACTCTGTGGTCGATCCCCTGCTCGAAGGGAGTGACCGAGGATCTGCCGGAGGTGCACGCCGTCTCGGGCCAGGGTGCCGAGCGCCGCAGCGAGCGCTGCCGTGCTCAGGTCCCGGCGTGCGGCGGGCCGCTGCCATCCCAGGCGGGACGGGATGGAGGCTCAGGGCAGGTGTAGCTCCTACGGGCGGATTGCGGACGACAAGTTATTAGTCAACAAATATTCGAAAACCGTCAAACATAGCCAACACATGGTCCCAGACTTTTTTGTGTGATTATTTTGATATATTTTTCCTGTAGAGGGACACGCACGACTTAAGGTCAGATGGAGGAGGTGGAGGACGTGCAGGATGACAGCCGCCTGGCCGCGCCAATCTCCTTGTTTCTGTCCCTGCGCTGTGTCTGCGCAGTGTGCCGCTGCTGACACCTCTGGCGTCTCGCCCCCACGGTTTGCCCAAGAGAGAGGTGAGAGGAGGATGAGGCGGACATGATGATGCTGATGATGATTACGATGCTGATGGCCATGATGATAATGATACTGAGCATGCTGATGATGATGGTACAGATGAGGTTGTTGTTGATGATGATGATGAGGATGATGGTGCTGATGACGACGATGACGACGACGATGACGATGGTGATGATGATGACGACGATGATAATGATGATGGTGCTGATGATGGTGGTGATGATGAAATATTGAAGCTCTAACCAAACATGACGTGATTGTAAAATCGCCCACCTGCCGGCTTCTCTTGAGCGATGTGGGGAAGTTTAAGGGAAGGCCCCTTGAGCGAAAATGGCAACAAGAGATGCTGCTGCTGCTGCTGCTGCTGATGATGATGATGATGATGATGATGATGATGATGATGATGATGGTGAAACTGATGCTGATGCTGATGATGATGATGCAGATGATGCTGATTCCCCAATCAGAGCTTGCCTCTGTAGGGGTCCTAGCAGATTCATATGGTTAGGTGAGGAGCGTCGCCGATTTCGGTGGCCGGCCCGGGTGCCTGTGTGCCCGGGTGCCAGGGTGCCCGGGTGCCTGGAGGTGCCCGGGTGCCCGGGGGTGCCCGGGGGTGCCCGGAGGTGCCCGAGGGTGCCCGGAGGTGCCCGGGGGTGCCCGGGTGCCCGGGAGCCCGGGTGCTCTATCGCCCTATCGCCCTATAGCCCTATAGACCTATAGCCCCACAACCATATAGCCCTATAGCCCAATAGGCCAACAGCCCTATAGCCATGACGCCCTGTAGCCCTATGGCCCTATAGCCCTATAGCCCAATAGCCCTATAGCCTTATAGACCTATAGTCCTATAGCCTTACAGCCCTATAGCCCTGTAGCCCTATAGCCCTAAAGCCCTTTAGTCCTGTAGCCATACAGCCCTAGCCCTATGGCCCTAGCCCTCATGCCCTATAGCCCGATAGCCCAAAGCCATATAGCCCTATAGCCCTATAGCCAAATAGCCCAATAGCCCTATAGCCCTACAGCCCAATAGCCCTATAGCCCTATAGTCCTATAGCCCTATAGCCCTATAGCCCTATGGCCCTATAGCCTTATAGCCCTACAGCCCTATAGCCCTGGAGCCCTATAGCTCTATAGCCCTACGGCCCTGTAGCCCTTCAAACCTATAGTCCTATAGCCCAACAGCCCAACAGCCCACATAGTTCTATAGCCCTATGGCCCTGAAGCCCTACAACCTTACAGCCCTACAACGTTATACCGTTATAGCGGCATAGTCCTATAGCCCTATAGCCCCATAGCGCTATAGCCCTATAGCCCTATAGCCCTGTAGCCCTATAGCCCTATAGCCCTATAGCCCTGTAGCCCTAAAGCCCTACTGCCCTATGGCCATATAGCCCTAGCCCTATAGCCCTAGCCCTCATGGGGTTCATAGCGCTCGTAGACTTCAAAAACCTAAGGAGCAATTACAAAAGGATCTCATGTAGTACCAACGATAGACTCTGATTACCTTTTTCTCCGGTATCATTTTTTGATGATTTGATAATGCTGCTGATGATATTAATGATGATACAGATGATGCTGATGACGATGATGATGCTGCTGATGATGACGACGCTGCTGCTGCTGCTGCTGATGATACTGATGAACATAATGATGCTGATGATGATGCTGCTGATGATAATGACGATGATGATGCTGATGACGCTGATGATGCTGCTGCTGATGATGATAATGATGATGATTCTGATGTTGCTGTTGCTGCTGATGATGATGCTGATGCTGATGCTGATGATGGTGATGATGGTGATTATGATGATGATGATGATGATGATGTCTCAGCTGCTGCTGCTGCTGACGATGATGATACTGATGATGATGATGGGGAGGGAGAAGAGGGAGAGGAGGCGGAGAAGGAACATGAAGAGGCAGAGGAGGAAGAGGAGGAGGAGGAGGACGAGGAAGAGGAGAAGGAGGAGGAGGAATAGAAGGAGAAGAGGGACGGGGAGGAGGAGAGAGAGGATAAGAGGATGACGATGATGATGCTGCTGCTGATGATGATGATGCTGCTGCTGATGATGATGATGATTATTATAATGATGATGATGATGATGATGATGATGATGATGATGATGATGAATAGGATGAAGATGCTGATGACGATGATGATGCTGCTGATGATGATGCTGCTGCTGATATTAACGATGATGATGCGGATGAAGATGATGAGGAGGAGTATAAGGATGAGGAAGATGATGAGAAGGAGGATGATGAGGAGGAGGGAGAGGATGCTGATGATGATGAGGAGGAGGAAGATGAGGAGGAGGGAGAGAAGGAGAGGATGGACGGGAAGGAGGAGAGAGAGGATAAGATGATGATGATGGCGACGATGATGACGATGACGATGACGATGACGATGACGATGACGATGAGGATGATGATGATGATGATGCTGATGATTATGCTGATGATGATGATGATGATGATGATGATGATGATGATGATGATGATGATGATGATGATGATGATGATGATGATGTTGCTGATGATGACGACGATGATGATGATGATGATGAAGAATATGATGATGATGATGATTCTGATGATGATGATGATGATGATGATGATGATGATGATGATGATGACGATGCTGATGCTGCTGATGATGATGCTGATAATAAGGAGAAGGAGGAGGACGAGGAGGAGGAGGAGGCGGAGGACGAGCATAATGAGGAGTAGGAGGAGGCGGAGCAGGAGGAGGAGGAGGAGGAGGAGGAGGAGGAGGAGGAGGAGGAGGAGGAGGAGAGAAGGAGAGGAGGGACGGGGAAGAGGAGAGTGAGGATAAGAGGATGATGACGATGAGGAGGAGGAGAAGGAGGAGGAGGAGGAGGAGGAAGAGGAGGAGGATGAGGAGGAAGGGAGGAGGAGGAGGAGGAGGAGGAGGAGACAGAGGAGAAGAGCCAGCAAATCCCTGAGCAAAAAACGGGTTTGGTGAGCACAAAACTAAATGTCCACCAGAGGTCTCCGGTGGCAGTAGATACTACCTCGGCTTCGCATGGCGGCTTGGCTGCGTGGCGCACGGGTGGTAGCAACACGCAGGCCACCTCGCTCATCTCAAAGGGGAAAACGAAAGCGCGGGGGGCCAGCCGACAACATCGAAACCGTGGTCTCGTGGTGGGGGTACTTGGTCGAGGATTCGGAGGGGGGGACGGAGGGGAGGACAAGGAGGGGAATGAGTAGAAGGAGGAGAACAGGGAGGAGGACGAGGATGAGGAAAAGGACGGCAAGCAGGAGAAGGACGACAAGGAGGAGGAGGAGGAGGAGGAGGAGGAGGAGGAGGGGAGGAGGAGGAGGACGACAAGGACGAGGACGAGGACGGGGGGAGGAGGGGGACGAGGAGGAGGACGAAGAGAGGAAGAGGAGGAGGAGGGAGGAGGAGGGAGGATGAGAAGGAAGGAGGAGGAGGAGGAGGAGGAGGACGAGAAGGAGGAGGAGGAGGAGGAGGAGGAGGAGGAGAGGGAGGGAGGAGGAAGGAGGGAGAGGGAGAGGGAGGATGAGGCGGGGGTGGGGGGCAAGCGGAGAGCCACCCCGCGCCCTGGCAACAAGTCCTCCTCTGCCGCCAGCCTGCCCCTCAGGCCGTCCCGCTCCCGCTCCAGGGTCGCCACCTTTGCAGGGCGCCGGCGCCGCGTGTGTGCACGCTCCGGATCCCCCCCACCTCCTTCTCCTACCTGCTCCTCCCTGCTCCTCCCTGCTCCCCCTGCTCCTCCTGCTCCTCCTGCCTCTCCTGCTCCTCCTGCTCCTCCTGCTCCTCCTGCTCCTCCTGCTCCTGCTCCTCCTGCTCCCCTTCCTCCTCTCCTCCTCCTCTCCTCCTCCTCCTCCTCCTCCTCCTCCTCCCCCTCCTCCTCCTCATCCTCCTCTTCCTCCTCCTCCTCCTCCCTCCTCCTCCTCCTCCTCCTCCTCCTCCATCCTTTTCCTCATCTAGAAGTCCTGCCTGTCGCACCTCCAAACTTGTCGGTAGGGTGGGCCAGGCGTTTCGCGTGAGACTTCCTGTCCATGTCTGGTCCTGAAGTTCAAAATGTTCGCAACAACTTCACGGATGTAGGGCGGCTCATTGTCAACATGTGGCTCTTGCTTTAGCGCTGCGCGCATTTGTCTTCAACTATTGCAGCAGCTTCACGGAAGGAGGGCGGGCCGTCTTCAAAATGTGAATCTCCCCTTAGCGTCGCGCGCATTCGTTGTGCAAGTCTTCTGCCGTTTCAAAATATGGAGGGCGACCCGTTTTCAAAATGTGGCTCTCGCCCTGGCGCCGCGCACGTTCGACGTAGACGTTTGCAGCAGCTTCGCGCATGGATGGCGGTTTCTTTTCAAAATGCGGCTCTCGTCTCAGCGCCGCGCACATTTGTCTTGAATGTCGTTTACAATACTCGTATGGTTGAGAGTCAATACGCAACCGCGAGTGCTCGGACCGTGTGCGCCAGACATTCGGTGCCCGCCTGGGTGCCAATGGCGAAATGGTGCCGGCCGAACGCGGCCGCGAGCTTCTCCTTCCGCGGCGTCGCAAACGCCCCTCCCGCCGATCGGCGGAGGATGTTCGGCGCGGCAGTGGAGCGCGCCCCGCCGTCCAGCTTGCTGAGCGGCGCCGCCCGAAAGAAGGCGAGCGCGTCCGCGGCGCTTGCGGGGAGGTCCCTAGTGGCGCTTGCGGGGAGGTCCCCAAGCCGATCTCAGAGGTTGAAGAAAGCTCCGAAGGCGGCTGGCCCCGCCAGCAACGCCCGCCAATATTCGAAACGGCCGCCTTCGCACCGTGGCCCCGCTCCCTCTCGGGTTCCGTCTGAGCGCCCTCCGCACATCCTGGTGCGAGAAGGGCGAGGCGGCTGCGGGCCCGCCGCGCGCTTGGGGTCAAGGGCGGGCGCGCCGCGCGGCGCAAGCAGCTCCTGGGGCGCGGCGGCCGTGTCGGGCGTGAGGAGGGGCGCCAGTCCTCGGCTGGCGAGGAGCGCGGCCGCCTGGGAGTACTCCTCGGCCAGCGCCTTACGGGCCACCGCATTTGCAAGGTGTCCCTCGGTGCTCCGGCGCTCCCCAGCGGCCTCCCTGCGCGCGCGCGCGCCATGCCCAAGGCGGTCTGTCGCGCCTCCGTCAATAGCTCTCCTGAAAGCGCCCCTGTGGAGGAGGGGTGCTGCTGGCGGATCAGCCCGGCCCGCGCGGCCGGTTCGTTCCCAGGCTGGCCTCTGCGGCTGTTGCCGCGTTTCAGCGGGGCCGAGAAGAGGAGCCTCTCGCGGAGCAGCAGCAGCAGCAGCAGCAGCAGCAGCAGCAGCAGCAGCAGCAGCAGCAGCAGCAGCAGCAGCAGCAGCAGCAGCAGCAGCAGCAGCAGCAGCAGCAGCAGCAGCAGCAGCAGCAGCAGCAAAGCAGCAGAGCAGCAGCAGCAGCAGCAGCAGCAGCAGCAGCAGCAGCAGCAGCAGCAGCAGCAGCAGCAGCAGCAGCAGCAGCAGCAGCAACAGCTTCTGGGCTTTCTCCTCCGCCAGACTCCTGCGCGGCGCGCGCAAAATAGCCCTGCAGAGGGCCTCCGTGGCCTGCGCAGCCGCAGCCCGCGCCCCGGTTGGCGCCAGGCGGAGCGTTGGGCAGTCCGCCGCCAGCTCGTCCAGTAATGCCAAGTCGTTCAGCGGGTGCTAGCATGCCACTTCGACGTCTTGGAGCGGCGGCGGCGGCTGCCCCAGGGCTCCAGCGGCAGGCGCGGCCGCTGCTACGGGCGCCCCCAGCGCCAGTGGCGCACCTTGCCCTGGGGCGCCCCTGGCGCCGGGTGGGCCCAGAGCCGCGGGGGCGGCGCCGGCAGCGGGTGCGGGCGCGGCGCCGAGCGGCGCGGCGGCAGCGGTCGCGCAGCCGTGACAAAGCAGCTCCTCTCAGGTCCCGCAGTGCCATAGCCAGCCGTCCCTGGTCTCCTAGTGGCAGGAAAAGCAGACCTCCCCGGGGGGGGCCGCGCGGCGCGGCGCGGGCCTGGGCGCTCCAGGCAGCCAGCGGCGCCCTCGAAGCGGGCCTGGGGTGTCTGGCCTCGCCGACTCGCGCGCCGGCGTAGCCGCGCAGCCTTCTCAGCGGCCCTCTGCCCGGCCGCGGTTGCGGCTGCCTGCCGCGGCTGCCTCCCGGCGGGCCCCGCGCAGGCGGCGGGCGACCGTCAGGAAGGCCTCGTCGCCCCCGCCAGTCCGGTCCAGCTCCTCTATGGGGTCGTCCGTGGACGCGGCCCCTTCCAGGGACTCGTCAAGGCTCCCGGGCCTCCGCGCCGTGGCCCAGCGCGGCGTCCAGGCGGGGCTCGGGCGGCGGGGGGGCCGCCGCTGCGAGGGCCGCGTATGGAGACGCCGTTGCCGCGAGCAGCGGCTCTGGCGTCTCGCCCCAGGCGCGCCGCCCCAGCCGCTCCAGGAGCTCGCGGGTGGCCTGGTGCAGGGCGCCAGCGGCGCCGTCCTCAATGGCCGTGCCTTCCGCCTGTGCTTCCTCTTTCGCCGCCTGCGCCTCTTCTTCCGGCGGGCGACGGCGCTGGCAGTCCCCGCCCTCGCTCGGGCGTCCTCCAAGCGCTCTTGCGCGGCTGCCGGCGCTGCTCCGGCCGCGGCCTTCGCGGTAGCCGCCCGGGCCTCCGCCGTCCTCGAGCTGTGCAGGCGGTTCGCTGCGCTGCTCGGCCTTCTGCTGCCGAGCGGCCCCCCGCGCGGCGTGCTGTCGCGGCTGCTCGGCGGAGAGCTGCCGTCTGGACACGTGGGCGCGGGCGCCGAGGGGGGGGAGAAGCAGGGGCAGGAGGTCGGCGGGGAAGAACGAGCGGGGAGAGGCGGGCCAGGCGATGGCTGCGCGCGGCCAGCTGGAGCAGCCACAGCCGGTGCGGCCATGCTGGGCGCAGCTGGGCGAGGACCTTCTGTGGGGCCCCAAGTTGAATCGCGTGCATGAGTAGAAAGTCGGGGCGTTGACCTCAGGAACCCTAAACAAGGAGCGAGGCCCCTATTTTCCATAAGTTGAACTTCGATTTCAGATCGAAAACCGAAGGACAACCTAAAGCAAACTGCGAAACAATTAAGGAACACGGAGCCCCTCCCCAACCAAAAGGGTTCCTTCTTCAGCGCCCCGACTGTATCTACGAGAAAGAGGGTGCCACGGGCTAGCTGGTCCAGACAGGGATCGGTTCGACGCTTGCAGATGCATGCCGCTATGTCCTCAGCTCCCTCCCACGGTCTCCAGGGGGCTTGAAATGAAGCTTTGGGGTGACTGGAACTGGGGCAAAACTGCCCTCCCTGTACAAATTGATGGGTCTGGATTGGCCCCGTCATGGCCCGATCCGAGACGCTGTGGATGGGCTTTGCCAGCTATGCGACCATCGTCTTCCTCTTCGCGCTGCGTATGGACTCCTGAACGACCCACCCAAACAGTTGGACGAGCTGAACGCGCTGCTCTACTCGCAGCGCTCAGATTACTCCCCCACGTCTCGCTTGTGGCTTCGCTCCGCGCCGACGCCCAGGCGCAGTATGCAGACGAGTGAAAGCACATCTCTGCCTTCACTTAGGGGCGGTGTCCGCCCGACCTTCACTGGTGGCCTGCCCACCAGGAAGCGGGGGATCTTGTGTCGAAAGTTCAGCATCCTTGGGAGTACTACCTCGGGAATGCTCGGGCGGACACGTTGGCGAAAATGGGGGCACTGAGACCTGAGCTGGCGGACGCGTTGACCAACTCCTATGAAGGGCACTCCGCGGATGCGAAGCTTCAGGCGCGTTTCCTATCATGCTGCACGACGTCTCGTGATGCACTGAGTGACCGTCCCGCCCACGCTTACAGAGAGCCTGACCTCCAGACCCGTGGCCCTCACTGCCCACAGAATGGCCATCGTGGGCCCCAGCATTATTATCAATGTAAATCTTCCCTTTCCCAGGCCAGGAACCCACTCGCTTAACAAAGTTGCTACACAGGACCCTGCCAGCCTGCGGCCCAACAGAGGCTTAGGGCTGGGACGGATGTAATGCTGCAAGGTGCCCCCCCGCATTTGCGTACGACAGCGGCGGAAGCAACGCTTGAGGCTGCTAACGGTTTTGTGCCTGAGTCTTGTGATGCTGGCGCTGAGGCGAGTTCGGTAGGCGAGGGGGAGTCGGAGCCCGCTGAGGCTATCGTCGAACTTCATGGGCACCTGTTTTTGGTGACCCCCGCGGCCACGGTCTGTACCATATGTGGGTCGTATCAGGCGACCCAGAGTAGGGTGGCCAACTGTCGGCTCGAGGGCCAATGTGCACAGTCCCACCAAATAATTACAGACAGAATCGCAACATTGCCGCCATCAGGGGCCTGGGGCCTGTCGGTGGCCGTCCCTCTGAGCACGGTCCCACCAAATGATTACAGACATAATCGCAACGTTGCCGCCATCAGGGCAGGGCGGCATCCAAAGTCGAGCAACCTCCTTGATGACTGATCGTAATATATTCTAGACGCTTCGCGTCTCACCACTCCGTTTAATCTTCCCAATTCGAGCGGCCCATCGGATGGCCCGTGCTCCCGTCTGTCGGTTGCACGTTTTGGTCAGCCAGGCAGTCCTCCTCCTCATTCACCCCCGCCTCCCCTACTGCTCGCCCCTCCCTCTAACCTCCTCCTCCTCCTCCTCCTCCGACGACGACGACGACGACGACGTCGACGGCTCAGCCGCCTGCTCCCCCAGCCGCGCGCTCCGCCGCTGTTCCGCCGACAGCAGCAGCCGCAGCGACACGCAGTCCTCCGCGGCGACGCCGCCCAGCTCCTGGGGAATGCCCGCGGCCGCTGGGGCTGAAAGTGAAAGCTCGCTGGAGGCGACTCCGCGCGGCGGCGGCAGCGGCGAGCCGTGCAAGGCGCCGAGTGCCTCCGCGATGATGTGGATGCGGGCCCTGCCTCTCGCACTGGGCATGCCCCGGGGCTGCCCTCCAGGGCCTGACTGACAGCAATAAGACGGCCGGGGGGGCCCCGCTGCAGGAGGCTCTCTTCGGTCTGTGCTGCTCGCAGTGCGAAGGCGCCGCCAGAGGAGCAGCGGGAGGGAGCATCCAAAGATGGCTCAATATCCAGAACCCCTCGCGGCATGAAATCATGATGACCGACGTTATTTTGTGGTTGTGGTGGTTGTTGTTGGATGCGCATTTCTAAACCATTATTGTTGACCCCCTTCCAGTAACCATTGTATTATTTCGATGTCAAAGCTTCTCCTGGGGCTCGCACCCTGTCTTTCAACAAAGGAAACTGAAGGGTCACCAAACTGGGTTGTTGGGCCCCGAACTACAACAACAACGGCTGTCGCCTGATAGTTCCTCGCAAATTATGTCCAAATCGCGCTCTCGCGCGGGACTTCCGCAACTCATATAGGAATCGTGCTCTCCCGTGAGACTTCCCGTTGATTTATGCAGACGCAGTGCTCTCCACAACGCTCTCGCTGTGGATTTCGCAACGATTTATTTGGGAATCGCGCTATCGCTCGAGACGTCCTCGCGACTCATGCAGGACGCGCGTTTCAGCAACGTGCGTACCATTTGCCCCTTCCTTCCATCTGTCCTCTCTTACCTCGCTTTTTTTGGGGGGGGGGCTGCACGAAGTACACTTTGCAGGTAAGACAGATATATCTCCAAGGGGGTACGATCGAAGACGAAGAGGACGTGTATCGAGGGTTTGTGGTATACAAGTTGACTGGCACGCGAGCAGATAGGAGCGAACACTCTTAACACAATTGTTGTCGTTGTTGTTGAGGTTGTTGTTCTTATTGTTGTTGTTGTAGTTGTAGTTGTAGTTGTTGTTGTTGTTGTTGTTGTTGTCGTTGGATTATCATTGCTACATAATAATGATGGTAGATCGCCCCTGCCTGGTAACCATTTTACTATCACAATGAAAACGCTTCTCCCGGGGCTCGCACCCGTTATTTTTCCGCAGGGAAATCACAGGTCATCAAGCTGGGTTGTTGGGCCCCGAACTACAACAACAACGGCTGCCGCGCCCTCGACACTCAACACGCATGAATCACGCTCTCGCTGTGGATGTGCTCACATTTAGAATCGCGCTATCGCTCGAGATTTCGTCGCGAGTCATGCACGACGTACGCTTCAGCAACCCGCCTGCCTCTTGTCCCTTCCTTCCTTCCATCCGTCCTCTCGTCCCCCTGCCATGATAGCTGCACGAGATACATGTTGCAGATTCAAAAGAAATACCCCTGATGGGGGTACGATCGAAGACGAATGGGGGCGGGTATGGAGGGTTTGCGAGATACGCGTGGGGTGTCGCGCGAGCAGATAAGAGCGAACAGTCTTAATCTTATGATGATTGCTGTTGTTGCTGTTGTGATTGTTGTTGTTGCGTGCACATTTCTAAATCATCATTGTTGATCCCCCCTGCCTGGTAACCACTCCATTATTGAATTTCAATGCTTCTCCCAGGGCTCGCAACTTGTTTTTTACAAGGGAAAGCGAAGTGTCACCAAACTGCGCCCCTGGCCACCGGTTTGCAACAACAGCGGCTCCCGCCTGATAGCTCCTCACAATTTATTCCCACATCGCGCTCTCGCACGGGAAGTCCTCACAATTAGTACAGGAATCGCGCTCTCGCGTGGGACTTTCTCGCAATCTATTCAGACGCCTCGCCCTCGACACTCAATTGGGAATCGCGCTATCGCTCGAGACTTCCTCGCGATTCATGCAGGACGAACGCTGCAGTAACCCGCCTGCTCGACCTGGCCGCCTGGGCCCGCCTTCCTGACCCGCTCGTTAGGGTCCCTCCGTTGGATCTACCCGTCTGGTTCTGCCACGTGTTTTCTGCTCCTAAACCCCCTCCTGCTACTTTCTCTCGTGCTCCATCCTTCTCCCTCCCCCTTGTCCTTTCCTTCCATTCGTCCTCTCTCTTCCCCTGCCTTAGGGGCTGCACGAAATACACGCTGCAGGTAAGAAATATAGACCCCTAAGGGTGTACGGTCGAAGACGAAGAGGGCGGACATCGAAGGTTCAGGATATATGTGTTGAGTGGCACGCGAGCAGCTAAGAGCGAACAATATTATCATGTTTTTTGTTGTTGTTGGATACTCATTTCTTAAAAAAAATACGTGGTTGACCTCTGGAAACGGTTCCGCGCGCTCTCGCCTCGACGCCGACTGCAATTCTTCTGAACGAGGCTCCCGCTCGAGCGCGGGCTTGATTGTAGATGTGTATCCTTGCAGGCCCGGCTACAATGACAACGGTTCCCGCTCGATGCTTCCTCACAATTTACCCCGAGACACCCTGGCCAGAGATGCCGCCCCCGAACTCAGGAACGGCGCTGTCACTCGAGACTTCCTCGCAAGTCACGTCGGAGGCCCAGCCACGACGACAAGGGCTCCTGCTCGATACTTCTTCACGATTTACTCCGAGAGCCCCTGGCCTGGAAGGATCCCGAACTCAAGAACGGCGCTCTCGCTCGAAATTTGCTCGTGACTCAGTCAAATTGGTGGAGGCCCAACTACGACGACAAGGGCTCTCGTTCGATACTTCCTCAAGATGTATTCGCAGACGTCCTTGCCAGAGACGCCCCGAACTTAAGAGTGGCGCTCTCGCTCGGGACTTTCTCGTAATTCAATCAAGTTTGTGGAGGCCCAGACACGGCGACAAGGGTTCCTGTTCGTATGTCCCAATATGTATTCCGAGAGCCCCTGGCCAGAGAGGCCCCCGAACTCAGGAAGGGCGCTCTCGCTCGAGAGCTCCTCACATTGCAATCAGCGGCCGACAATGAAGATATTCCCCCCGAGAGGGGGTGCGATCGAAAACGAAGTGGGCGGGTATCGAGGGTTGGGGTATACAGAATGTAAGACACGTGCGCCAGTAAGAGCGAGCAGTCTTAAAATGATGGTTGAACTCTTACTACTGAAGAATAATGATTGTTCATGCCCCCCTCCGGTGCACATTGTATTTTTCAACTGAAATGCCCCTCCGGGCGCTCGCACCATATTTTTTATCAAGGAAAATCTTCTTCCTCAAACTGTGCCCCTGGCCCCCAATTTATAACAACAACAACGGTTCCCGCTTGATACTTCCTCGAAATTTACTCCGGTCCCCCGCTCCCGCTTGAGACTTCCTTGCGATTTGCTCAAGAATCGCGCTCCCGCCTGAGACTTCCTCGCAACTTACTCAGGCGCCGCGCTCTTGCCATTCAGGAATCGCGCGTTCGCTGGGGATTTCCTCAAATTTACTTAGGAATCGTTCTCTCGCTGGCCACTTCCTGGCCAATCACGCAGAACTCAAGAAGAAATAGATACCCACCAAAAATGGTATGATCGAAGACGACGAAGGCGTGTATCGAGGGTTCGGGACAGTCACGCTGAATGACAGTCGAGCAGATAAGAGTGCACAGTCTTAAAAGTATTGTTGTTGTTGTTGTTGTTGTTGTTTCTGTGGTTGAATTCTCAATCTGAAGAAACTGGTTGATCCCCCCCTGCCTGGTGCACATACTGTTCTTTGATTAATGTGCGCCTCCCGGGGCTCGCATCCTGCTTGTAATCAGGGGAAATCAAAATCCTCAAACTGTATTGTTTGTCCCAAATTTACAACAACAGCGGCTCCCGCGGGATACTTCGCCACAGTTTGTTTCAAATTCGCGCTCTCGTGCGGGACTTCTTCATACTTTATGCAGGAATCGCGCTCCCGCGTGGTGCTTCCTCACAATTTATTGCGGCGCCGTGCCCCCAATACTCAAGAGTCGCGCTCTCGCGTTGGATTTCCCCACGACTTCTTTGGGAATCGCGCTGTCGCTCGAACCTTCCTTCCCGTTCATGTTGGATTGACGCTTCATGTATCCGCCTGCTCGACCCGGCTGTCTGGGCCCGCCCGCCCGACCTGCCCGCTAGGAACCGCCCGCCCGACCCGCCCGTCTGGCTCTGCCGCTTGTCTTCCTGCTCCGAGCCCTCCTCCTGCAAATTTCTCTCGTGCTCCATCGTTCTCCCTCCCCCTGAGTCTCTTCACCCCTCCCTCCCTCCCCCTGTTTCAGGGGCTGCGCCAACTGCACGCGGCGGGCAAGGGAAAATATACCCCCCGAGGGGCGTGCGATCGAAGACGAAGGGGCCGGGTGTCGAGTGTTTGGGATATACGTGTTGGATGTCACGCGAGCAGATAAGAGCGACCAATCTTAAAACGATTGTTGTTGTTCTTGCTGTTGCTGATGCTGTTGTTGCTGTTGTAGCTGCCGTTTTCGGCCTGTGGGGGCCCTCGCGGGGCCCCGGCACTGTCAAACACGACTCAGGATGAAAAGCCGGTCATGGGGACTGGGTTGAGAGATATGGGGTCGACGTTGGTAAAAATAACCTGACGTTGGGGTTCTGGGTCTAGCTCAACGATGAGGGTGGCAGTGAGAATCACATACTCTCTCTGTCACAAGACCCACGCACAACTGGCTCCACGACTTGAGATTGAAGACCGCCGGGCAGGCAGGGAAAGTCACACGAGACGTCGCTAAGAGCGCATCTCGAGGACAACCCTGTGCCGAATTCTGGCTGGCGCTTGGCTCCACTATCCTGTGTGGGGACGACGTCGTCCATGTGCCACTCATACCATTGCTGACGATTTCCGTGCTCATCAACACCGTGTCCTTCTTCATCCACTGGCATGGCGAATTCATTCCTCCGCTGCTGCTCCGTCTTGTCTTTCTTCTCCTGGCACTCGTGCTCCTCCTGCCATCCCTGCACAAATTCATCACGCGGGACATGGGCTATTCATCGATGCGACGGGTCCAAATGTCGAATTTGTTCTGACTGCGGTCGGGAACTTT